TCTACCTTTGGCTAAGTCTCCCATCAGCAGCAGCCAGCGTCCTCATTGAGAATGGCTGAGATACAGCTGCAGTGGTCAGCCTCAAGCCCTAACTCCGATCTGACAGAAAGGAGCTGCTGCTAGCAAATCCAGGGAACTCTTTCGTAAATCAATGTAAAATTATCTTTTTCTCTCCCCACGAGCTTCTTCATAGTCCCCTACCTTCAAGAAACTGAAATCTTGTCAGCTGTTAAAGGCACTGACATTTCCCTTAACTACTTTAAACTCACAGTGTGCAATAACATTGGAAATCTTCACAATATTCACACCAAAAAGCATCACCAGTTCCAGCTACTGCAATACCATTACACTTTCTGGGTAAGAGTTCATATAAATTTCCATGTTTGTGGGAAGGAAGCAAGAGTGTCTCTTGTCCTTCATCCCATTACCACTAAACCCCTTGATTTTGAGAGAATCAGAGTGCAGAGCCAGAATGAAGCAAAAGGAGCGACACTTTGCAGTGCAGCAAGACATCAATATCCTTTTCTTCTTCACCACTTGAATGATGCTGGAGCTTGCTAATATTACATACATTTAGACTTGTGATGCTAGGGTTGTATCAGTATACTGCTATTACTAGTGACAGTACTTGCAGAAACTACAGCTATTCTTAGTCTACACACATGGCAGAAGCGATGTGCCACTTTCATTCCTCTAATTAAGCATTTCACAATCCCTTTTTGAACTATGTTTCTCCCCACAGTTCAAGAAACACTGCACTAAGTCAATTAACAATCCCCAAGTGTCCAGATTTGAGTCTGAAACTAGATTTAGGTTTGAAAGTTCCCTTTAATAAAAATAATTTAAAATCTTACTGGTGTCCTTTTAATATGCAGTGAAGAAGTGGTTTTTTTCTTCCACAAAGAAGAAAAAAACAGCCACAATTAAAATGACACTGGCAGAAGGGAAGAGACAACTTGAAAGACATTCTTAAAAGATAAACTTGCTGACTAAATATAAACATTAGAGAGAACATTAACGTAAAGAAGCCCATGGTTTCTCCCATGTACTGCACTTGTATTAACACGAAACTGTCATATGACAGTGCTCCTGTAAATTTTGCCCACTGTACCAGATCTGTGCTTTGAAAAGAAAACACAGCTTGGTTCCCCCCCCCCCCCCTTTTTTTTTTTTGGATAATGTAAAGATCCACATCTGCTAATTTAATCCATGTTTAATGATCTCATAGATAAAAGTAAACCTGGAGGAAGAGACTGTAGGGCCAAGTTTAATTATAAACTGTTCCTTTCTGTAGGAACAGTTGTTTACTTCCAATGCTGAGGAAGTTCATCCCTGAGCTTAGAGAAATCTGGTTTTAGTACAACTTGTGTTAAGACGCAGGAGTGGATTTGAATGGGATAAGCCAAAATAGATATTGTCCCCAAATACCCATCTTGTGCCTCTCCTGGAAGTTGCTTCCCCTGCAGCAGGAACGGTGAAGCTGTAAATCCACAAAGTATCCAGGTAACCTAAAACCAGCACTGTCTTACCTAAAATAATCTGTGCTGTAAAAAACCCCCAACAACTAAGAATGAGTTATACATAATGGGCACAAATTAAAGCATGCAAATTTTCATCTGAACACAAGAAATAACATCCTCTTATGAAATGGTTATTTCTGTAACAAATAAAGAGAAGCCAGGATAGACTAGCCAGCATCCAGGTTCACCTGTACAGAGCCTGTGCCACCCTACTCTTAACATCTTCCAGAATAATCAGGCAGAAGATTGATAGGAAAACACAACAGGCAGTGACCATCTACCATTCATTTCTTCCCCAAACTGCATCCTTAAAAAGTCCACAAAAAGATCCCAATGCAAATTCAGACACCATGTAATTTCTATTCCTCCCCTTGCATGGCAGAAAGACTTAAGAATGGAAGATCACCCCTATACCCAGCTCTTAGTCATAATCAAATCTGTTCATTAAAAATTAATTTTGACCACAGTTTTAATATTGCTAGTATGAATTTATGCAGGGGGAAAAGCCTGGATGCTATTTTTCAAATTTATAATTGAGGAAAATTACAGAAATGGGGGGAAACTCAAATCGAAAAAAACCCAAGTATTCTGGGAGCAAGTAACTGAATTCAATCAAGTCGCTCAAGGAGAAAGCATAAAAGTGCATTAGCTTGCAGGTGATTTAAAATCAGTTTTAATGCATACAGGCAACAGACAGTTGCTAGGTTTACTGCAACTTAATTAGACCTCACATAGTAAGAGAGAGAGAGAGAGAGGGCAGCAAATAAGAATGCAGTTTTTCCCTCCTTGCTTAAAGAAACATTCCAGAAAAAAAAAAAAAAGTAGTTGTAAACCCCTAACATCAAATAGTACATGTCAATAAATGAGCAGAAAACCTTTCTTCTCATTCACAGAAACCAGGCACAGAGACTGAATCCAGGTTGACAGAAATGTAGTGGGAAGCCTCAACTTGAAAAAGCTCTGTCCCCCATAAAGTCCAGGTTGTCAGAAGTCATCCATCTGGGAGGTTGTTGTTAATGTAAAGTTTAACAACATTTGGTGTCTTCAGTGCTAAGCAAATGTGCGTATACATGGCAAGTGAATTGGGATAATATGCAACTGAATATAAGTGCTACCAAGCATATACAACAAACAACCTAAAAAAAACCAACAGCCCAAATTTTCATCTGATCTCTTATATGGGATTCGTACTTCAGTTTTTTGGAATACCCTCAGTACCCTGAAAGACAAAGACCATGTGCCATGCTACAGTGAGGAGTTTTTATTGTTTTTTTAAAGTAATAATAGAGTGCTGTTCTTGTAAATATTGATATTCTTGTTGGTAAGGGATCAGAGAGGGAGGAAACTGGTATTGCAAACTTTTTATGATTTTCTGAATATATGTCAAATGGTGGCTGAATGAGCAGACCCCACCTGGGAGACAGCACTGGCTGCAGCGTCTGGTCAATGGGTAAGTCATGTCTCTTTTCTGCCTTCCTTTTCCCTCCTCCCCTTTATCATCTCTGACAGCTAGCCATTTGAGGTATGAATTATCTCCTCCACTTACAGGTCTTCAACTGAATAGATGCTTTAAAGGAAACAGACTGGGGAAAAGTCAGCATTAAGTGAATCAAAGGCAGAGCTGTGTGTTTAGAAGCATGCATCACTCTATATGTTTTCAGGCTTCATTCCCACATTGCTCCCAACCTTGAAAAAGGTAAATGTGCATCTTCATGTGGATGGGTAATAGGAAGGGATGTTTCTTGTCTATCTCCATTTCTTGTCACCATACCTGTACTTTCCACATCAGAAAGGTGAGGAATGGGACCCTCAAGCTTCATTCCCCCATCTCCCTCTGAATCAAGAGGATGCTGTTAGCCTTCTCCCTTTTAACCTTACTTTCCCTCTTCTTCCTCCTCTTCCCCATAAAGTGGTATGAGGAAGCTTGCAGACAACTTGGTAGGCTGTGTTGGAAGAGATCTACCCAATATAAGTCAGCAATGATCTTTCTTGTCAACTCTAAATATTACATAATAAAAGCAAAAACAAGGCTCCAGGAAAGTAAGCTAATATTTCAGATAAGGTATGAGGAGTTTTTGAGAGTTACCTTAAGCTATTCTGTAAATCAAACCCAAACATTTTGGTATTATTTTACTGCTGTTTGAATTGCATAATATTTGTTCAGTTTTGTCCCCACTGTACTTGGTTCATCATGACTAACATGCATCTTTCCCTGTACACAGTGTGCAGTGTCTACCATTTGTTATATAAGAAGAAAAAAAGTAAAACATTCTTCACTCCAGAAGGCAAAAGGTTTCTATCTGTAGATATATGCTTACTGAAAAAATTCAGCAGATGAAAACGGAAAAGCTCGGCAGGGGAAAAATTCAAACAAAGTTTGATTTCACTTGGGAACTCCCCCTTCCTCTAAAGGGGCTTGCAGAGTGCTTACAAAAATCATACTGCTGTTATTCCAGCCACGCTCTAATACCATCTTTCTGCAAATTTCACCCAGGAATTTCCCAGGCACATGCCACAAAAGGGTTAACTATAAGTGAAACTGATTGCACTGCATGAAGAAATTACGAACCTATTTCAGTACAACATTTTCAGCATGAATTCAAATGCTCTCCTCTCCAATAGAACTTTATAATGGACTGAGTCCCCAGGCACACTAGGGTCTAAAGCACATTATGAAATGCTTTTCTTCACTCTGAATACTATTTACAGAAATAATAATAATTCTAAACAGGTAACATGTGGCAAGATTTCAAAACGTTATGGGCAAGCTGCTAAATATTAAAGAGGTTGCTTTTAATATTAATGCATGTGTCAGGAAAACAATCTCAGAGAAGTCCAGAATATAAAACATGGTACTTGTATAACTTGATTTGGTTTGTTTCTCCCCACTCCTCATTTCCTAAAAAGAGTTTCTAATTCATAATTTTGAATTTGTTAACTTCTGTACACTGCCTCCAATCAGTCCATGAGGCCATTGCATCAGAACTAACCAGCTAAACAGAACAATCCCTGAGATTTCTGTATAGAACAGCAAAGATCCTTCTGCTCACAGTGCACCACTACTTAAGTTCCAAAATCTGCACTTGCTGCAGCCATTCAATATGATCCTACTCCAAAAGCAAAGCACTGACTAGAAATTTGAAGACTTTCCACCCAGAGGTAACAACATTACCACAATTTTACAGTTGAACAAACTAAGGCACAAAAGTGTTAAGTGGGTCACACAAGCAGTAAATGCCTTATTTAAGCAGCTGTTCAAAAACGAAAAAGCAAATAAAGAAACCAGCTAAACACATTAAAAACATTAAGCTGTAAGAGAGGAAGAGGGCTACACCCCTTATAAAAATCACCTCCTACCCCACATGCACTCACAGAAAAATACATGTGCATCAAAGTAAACATCAATGCAGAGGCACAAGCATGCAGAAAAGAACTTATTTACACACAGGGCCAGCCAAGCACACATACACAGACACTTACTTGATCTATTTCCATTAACTTGGGGAAGGCACCTGGCCATTCAATCGCCACCTTCACTATATCAGCAGGAGGGGGCATTGCGACGCTGTTCTTCAGAGCCAGTACAACTGGACACTAAATACTGCAGAGAATCTCTCTCATTCACACCTGCAGGGAGAGGAGGAAAAAAAAATTTAAAAAAAAAAGAATAATACAGCAGTTCAGACAGAACTCCAGTGCTGCTGCTTCAATCTCTTACATTTTCCCTGGCTGGGCAGGTGGATGAAAACGTATGTGTGTATGTATGTGCAAGACCAGAAGATTGGCACATATTACAGAAGCAAACACAGGACACAACGCCACAACACACTGCACAGCTCGACAGTCAGTTAGAAAGATGGCTGAAGCACTGAAATGTACGGTGAATAATAGGCATGCATTAGATTTAAATAGAAAAACTATTTTTAAATATTATTAAACATGCTGGTGGGAAAAAGCGACAAACTGGAGGAAGCTCCTGTTACAGTGTCACTCCTGGAGTCCCAGGGAACGTGACCGAATCGGTTAATGCTGGCGCTCCAGGAGAAGAGATTGCCCAGGAAGTTATGGCCAGGAAACACTGTTTCTTTTAACTATAGCAATGATCTTCTGGGTGTTCACAAATAGATCACTGCACTATAGCAACCAGTATGTCAGGAAGAAGGCAGAACACACAGCAGTTTCCACATATACACACACACACACATCCTCACCTAACAGATCTAGAGATACCCATACATAAATACTTCTTTATGGTACATCTCAGACATGTGAATACACAAGGATATAGTATACATTCACAGTGATATTATCAGCTACATAAGACGTCATAGTTCTGCAAGAATATGAATATCAATAGGATTTCATGTCAAATAGCACAGGCTGCGAATTTTGGGGAAGGAGAGGAAAGGGGAAGAACCAAATCCTCAGGTTTTGCAGAATTTAAGTTCTGTCTCTCTTGACTCATCAAAATTTGTAACCTCACAACAACAACAAATATTTTTCAAAAGGGTGTAGTGCCTGTCTGGGCTTGCAAACAAACTTTTTGCACTTCTCTCCCAGCTCAGTGGTGGCAGGACACCCTCCTTAGTAGCTAAGCTCTGCAATTCTCAGACACAGCTATCCATGCACCCTGAGGTAGATCAGGAGGTTCCTGCTTGGTCTGCCAAGCCCTCCATGCTGACTGTGGCACTTCCCGCGCATTTTGCTGCGACCCAGTAAAGCACCATCAAGTATGACAAAACGAGAGAAGCTGTAGAAATCCCCAGAGGTCCAGTCCCACTTCTTCTTAGCAGAAAAAGAGAAGGAAGTGGTGAAAGCATGGACATATGCTTGCACATACACGCTTTGAAAGAGCTAAGGCAAGAGAGGAGCTCGCAGAGTATACAAGACATCCAAAAGCCATAAACAGGTACAGGCCAAAAAAACCTCTGACCACCTTCAGTTTCTGCTTCAACTAACCTGGTCTAACAACTTCCATTCAACTGCAGCATGAACTCAGATCAGTCTGAACTCAATCATGAAACCATACCTTCATCAAGAAATGACCTGTCTTTGTCTTGTATTATTTTTATAACTGGGAGTTCACCCATGTATATGGCTCTGCCTTTCCTTTTTCCTTGTGTGCCTTCTGGTCTGCTCTGAAAAGAGGCTCAGTCCTCCAAGTCTGCAAGCCCTGTCACATTCTACATAGGGTTCTCAACAGATACTATAAAAGCAATTTATGAACTTTAACACTACAGCAATTTATTTCCAACAATGGCAGTTCTGACACCGACAGGATTGCACATCACCACAAAGCAAAGCACAAGGCAGTAAATAAGACAATGGATGGTCTATAAATAAGACAGGATTGCAGGAAGTGCCACGAAAGACTAAACAATGTGATTAAGAAACACTGTGATATTGTCTACATTTGGTAGATGTCACAGGAACCACGAATAAACACAATTAAAGCATGCAGCTGGCTTGCTGGTCATTAAGAAAAGTCAGACATTCACTTTTGGCTGTCTTTTACTCCACAGAGCCTTAGCGGACACAGAGTTCCCACCATTTCTCCCCCAACACATCACGTGCCCACAACTTGCATCTCCCACCAGTGCTCCCCTTGCTGTACAGTGCACTGGGCTCAACCAACCAGCCAAAAAAAAATTTTTGGTCATCTGTATTTTACCATATTCAAGTCAAACAGCTCCCCAGAGGTGGTACAACATGGGAGAGAGGAGGAGAAGCAATGCTTGTTGGCAGCAATGAGCTGTTAGTCCACCTTGACAGTCAATTGAAACTGAGACCTCAGCACCTTCTGCTCACACACTCACAGTGTCGGTGTTTCCCACACACCCTGAGCAGTCCTTGGTAGTTTCAGCCTGCTGACGTTTTGGTATTAAACTGCCTGCAGCACTTAAGTGGAGCTGGCTGACCCAGTGCCTGACTGACAGGCTTCTCCCTGTGTTCCCTGGCTTGGCACTCAATCCCTGGCAGGAGGGATGCTGGAAACCTCAGCCACAGCCTGAGTTTACTGGCCTCAACACAAAAAGAACTGCAGCAGCAGCAGCTCCTGCCAGACAAACTTGACTGAGGATAGCTTCAGATGAGTATGTCCTTATTTTCAACAGTTTTATTTTTCCTCATCATGCTTCTTCTACAGTTTTCATGAAAAATAATCATGTGTAGGCCACATATCTAAAGAGATAGAAGAGAGACCTATAAAAATCATACAATCCACCTAGTGCATGGACAAACACGGTTTCTTTTGCCTGGGAAGACAGGGAATGAACCACAAGAGACAAAGGCAAGGTAACTTGCAGCCCAATACCTTCTCTTAGAGGTCATTAACTCCAAAGCTCGCAATGAATTCTGGACCAAAAAATCCACTTATTCATGATCACTGGCCATAAGAGCAACAGCAAAACAATGTTAGCAAAAAATTTGCAGAAAACTTTTGCTTTCCCATATACATGAGGGCATTAACCTTCACTTTGCTTTAGCGAGCTGTGGGCCATCTTAACAAGTCACACAGGAAGAAAGGTTTATGTAAGAGTTAAGGAAAGTTGATGTTAAGTTGCTCAAATTCAGCTATGGAAAATAAGCATTTGCATTCCAAAGCAAGGTGCAAGAGAAGTCTTCCACAGCATTCAGAAGACAATTTCAATGTGAGGAGTTTTAATGTAGGCTAGCACAGATCTCCTACATAATTATTACTATACATATGCTTTTACAGTCAGAAAACACAAAGCAAAGTGACAGATCTTTAACGAATACAAACGGATGTAGTTCCACTTCTCTCACCAGAAGACCAACTCAAAGATATCAATGTGGTCTGAATGCTGAAAAGCATATAAAATCATGTGTTTCTCTGTGGACATTCTAGTCAAATGTGTTGACTTTTTCTTTCCTAGTTTATGATTTCTTATGAATCCAATGCAGGATCCAAAAGATAACTTAGTTTCGTTCTACCTATGTGGCAATGCCAGAAACAAATATTTTATTTTTTTAAGGCCAAAATAGAGGTCTAGCTGTCATCACAAAATTATGATTACAAAGAAAATTCTGCAACCTACAGTGCTGACAATTCAAAATTACCTACTATTTATTCCAGTGGTACACAGTGTGTTAGACACTGCCCAGTAAAATAAGGAAGGACGATCCCTGGCGTTAAATGCTTTCAATTTAGTAAGCAATTTTCACGATGTGAATGAAGAACTAGAACTGATTTCAACTGTTTTTTGTTATGCCAGCAGCAGTCAAGCAGCGAAAAGGATAGAGATGTCGCTAAAGAGTCTAGTTATGGAGTTTTCTCAAGAGTAATTCCTTTTTCTCTCCCAGTGGGATCTGAGAAGCACTGACATATAAGAGCAACTTTGCAACTCATTTTTACAACATTCATTTTCAAGGCAGAATCTGAAGGCAAGAGGATGCAAGCGCAGGCATGTGTGTATGGAGGGGAAGAGGGGATCTGAGGAAAAGGAAGGCAACTTCCCATTGTTTTCCCTAATGAATGCAAAGAGCTGTAACTTGGAGGTGGTTTAAGCAACTTCCATGCTTGGCAGCACACTATTTTATAATTTGAGGGGAAAAAACCCACAACCAAAACATCCATACCACTTGAGCACACTTTCTTACACCACTATGGTTTTGCAGAACTATGACAGATTAGCCCATTAAAGTTCAACCTGATGATTTATCGTTATTACCACGTACAGTATATTTCTGCATTTCATGCATGCTATGAAGTGCTTCCAGTGGTTTACTAAGTCAGAGTAATAAACACCCAAGTTGAAAACCAAAGTATGTTAAATTTAATGTAAAAATACATCAGCACAGACACACAAGCTCTCAATTTACCTGCCTGGCTCTGAGGGATTCATTCAGCACAAATGTCAGTAAAACATATTGAATTTTCCCTTTCTACCTATGCATTGCATGTGGAGAAAGGTATTTTATTCGTGTATGAAATTAGTTCTCAGGGGAACTCTTCTGTTTTTTTCCAATTTGTTTTGCAATTTCCTTGGCACTTTCCATACAAAGATCTCGAAGCACTTTAAATAACTTAAAGCTATCAGAGCACATCTCTCAAGCAATAAACTCTATTCTTACTCGACAGACAGGAGAAAAATGCAAGGCTAATAGGAGCTATGTAACTTGCAGCTCTACTCATATATGAAAACAGCAGCCTAGAACAGCTTATTTCTTCTTTTACAGAAGAGAGGTAATACTCAGACAGCAGGCCAGGTCATTTCATGAAGAAGCTCAAGTAGGAAAGGTAATTATTAGAAAGTGACTGAAGGAACACCATGTGCACTTGAGAATTTAATAAAACAAAGCATGTGTTTCTCCTCTCCGGATAAAAGGCAGCATACATAGAAATCACCTGGAGCTGGCACAGGTTTCCCCCCGCTTCCCCCTCACAGGCAGGTTTTTCCATGGCATTTCTTCAAGGTGAAGGGAAGGGAGGGCAAAAGCAGTGACAGCATAAAGCAGGACACAGCGGGTGCTGGCAGGGAGCTGATCCCTGGCCAGCCATGCAGGGCCCTACAGCAGGAGGAGAGGCACAGGTCCCTCTGCTCAGCACTTTACGTAAGTAACCGCTTCTTGTCAAACCTCATCAGCTTCCTCCGCTCAGCTCCCAC